CGTGAGCGCTTTTACTGGAATAATGCAAAGAATGACGTGCAAAAGTGGTGCCGATCTTGCGATGCCTGTGCAGGTCGGAAAGGACCGAGGAGGAAACGCAGCCGAGGCAGACTGCAACGTTACAACGTAGGTGGCGCCTTTTGAACGTATCGCCTTTGACATCCTGGGACCTCTGCCACGAACTGCTGAATGGCAACAAATACATACTCGTTGTCATTGATTACTTCACCAAGTGGCCTGAAGCTTATCCTATTCCTGATCAAGAGGCTGTCACAGTAGCTGAGGTAATGATACAGCACTGGATTTCCAGGTTCGGAGTGCCTCTTCAGTTACATTCCGATCAGGGAAGGAATTTTGCATCGGCAGTAATCAAAGAACTATGCAAACTACTTGGCATTGACAAAACTCAAACGACGCCATTGCATCCCCAGTCGGACGGCATGGTAGAGAGGTTCAATCGAACCATCCTTAATAACCTCTCATTAGTGGTTTCCAGAAACCAACAGGACTGGGACAAGAAATTACCACTCTTTTTACTGGCTTACCGCAGTGCTGTCCACGAGACTACCGGCTATTCTCCATCACAGATGCTCTTCGGTCTTAACCTTCGTCTGCCTTGTGATCTATTGTTTGGCCGCCCCGCCCTCCGGATGCTCCTTCATCGTCTGAGGAATATATTCAAGATCTCCAGGCCCGGTTTGAAGTGATGCACAATTTTGCACGAGAGCGAGTCAACTTGGCGACGGAGAAGATGAAGACCCGATACGACACAAGAGCTACTGAACATCAATTCCACGAAGGAGACAAGGTGTGGTTGTGGAATCCGACTCGACGGAAAGGACTTTGTCCGAAATTACAGTCACCTTGGGATGGCCGTACACAGTCCTAAACAGGCTGAATGACGTCGTGGTTCGGATTCGTAAGTCTTCGAACTCTAAACCTAAAGTCGTTCATTACGACAGGTTAGCTCATTACTATGGCCATAGTACATAATGTAAATAATTGCAAATAGTATAAGACCATGGTCCATTTTTGGTTTTAAATGTGTATTTGATTTGTATTTGATAGCATTCGATTTGTTTTATGTATTGCATTTATTGTTCATGTTGTTTATTATTGTAATGTAATGCTTATTAATGCATTTATGCCACAGTTGTAAGTTTTGCTTCCTGTCCAGGGATTGTACTGCCCGGGACGTGCAGTCCTTGGGAAGGGGGCAGTGTTACGAATTTGGTATTTAAAAAGCTAATGTTAGTTCAATTATAAATTAAATGGTTTTATTTCTCGCGCAGTGCAGCGCGTGACGAATATTAAAAGAAAGCTAAGCCGGAAAATTGAAAATACAAGAGCGCGTGCATTAAATAAATAAATATCTCTTTTTATTTCGAGAAAGTACTGGAAAATTCTAGCGCGTGATTTTAAAATCTTATAAAAGGAGGAAAAACATCTCAGTTTGTAGTAGTTGCTTAGTTTGTTGTTGTTTAGAAAACTACTGTTGTTGATTGTAGCGAATTCGCGGATTAGCGTTCTTTAGCTGTTTTTGAATTACGTTCTATTGGACATTTGAGAGTAGTTAAAAGAAAACTACTGTGAGATATTGTAATACTGCATGATAATTTGAGAAAATTTAAGCATTTTTGTTGTGATAATAATAAATTTTTGTTCATTTTTCATCGGACTTGTGCATTCATTTCATAACGAACCCGTACGCACGCAACAATATGATTATTTGAAATTTATTAATTATGAATTTCAATTTCTGTCTTTGTGAAATATTAGTTCTAAATTTTTTACTTTATGTCTTTAATGATAATTTTTCTGCAGATTAAGGCGAGAAAATGCTAGGAATGTTTGTGTTTTGTTTTCAAAAGAATTGTTTTGTAATTATAAGTTCATACAACATTATATATATAATATATACACAAAATTTAAACAAATTTAAATTTTAACAAACATGTTATAAACGTAAAAAAGCAAATTAAAGTTAAAATAATTAAAAAAAAATATGCAAAATATAAAGATTTAATTTACAAAGAATCTACAATATCATTTAAATCAGATAGCATAAGTAAATCAAGTGCAAAACCAAACCATGAAATAATCACCAATTAGCAAATAAAATTATCTAAAAAAGAATTTTTTTTAATTATAAGTGAATGACTGTTGAGCAGGCAGGAGACAGACTTCTCAGGGTAAGTTGCCTCCAAACCTTACTCTCCAATCATTCATTGTGTTTCGTCATTCATGCAGGCAAGGGTAAAAGTCAAACCAAAAGCAAAGAGTAAAGATGTCCAAAAGAATACCAATAAGTGGTACCTTTAGAAATTAGCAATTAAAAATTAAATTTCTAAATGGAAAACCAATGAAGCCTTTTGCGAAATAAGTATTAAATTAAATTTTAAAAAAATTAAATTTTAAAAAAACTTAATTTTCAGAAAAATTAATTCAGAAAAAAATGCATTTTAGAAACCCTTGTCTACAGAAACCTACCCGACACGAATGCATATCAATAAAAAGAAACTAAAGGAACTAGACATAATTTATATAAACCAATAAGAAACAGAAAGAACTAATTCATAATTTAAAAAAAAAACAAATATATACTTAAAAAATATAATTTCATATCTCTAGAAAATACTTAAATACTGCATAAAAAAATTTAAAAAATACTAAAGCAAGTAATAGTAAGTTTTAATTCTAACTTACCTACTATATTAGCGTTGGGGTTTACGTATATACTGTTTGTTAAAATTAAAATTGTTTAAATTTAAATTTCATTCCTTGCAGCAATAGCGCAAAGAATTAATTTAATTTGTATTTAAATTAAATTTATTTAATCCAATTTATTCTTATACATACACATATATATATAGTATTTTTTATTTAAAAACATGATTATTGCTGTTCAAAATTGATCTGATCAATTTTCAGTATCAGTAATATCATGTTTTTAAAATAGTCAAAAAGTAAGAAATTTAGAACCTATTTTACACGAAGATCCAAAAAAGTGAAATTCAGTATTAATAAATTTCAAAATACTTTATAGATACATAAAATAAGAATTAAAGAAATGGGAATTTGAAAACTAAAAATTACAAAAACCTGGAAAAATACACCAATATTAGAAAAATAAAGAAGAAAAATTCCATTAAATCTGATGTAACGTTATCAAGGGAGAATACATCAGACTCAATTACAGCCCTCCTTCCACTTCAGAAACCTTGCATTTCTGTATTCAAAATTAGCCAATGAACTATTCTCAAGTTTTTTTTAGTTATAACAGTTCATCGAAAATTTTGATGTCCTTCTAGAGGCAAGGAAAATTCAATGTTAAATCAAGTAAAAAAAAAAAAAAAAAATAAATAAAATTATACTTTTCCACTGTATTTAAAGTTTAAATAAAAAAATTACAAAAATAAACCGAGAGTATAAATTTAAAACTCATTTAGAGGACGAAGTAACAATTTGGTAGTGAAAAATAGTAAACACATCCAATTGAAGAAAATCCTAAATTTGAATAAAGTAAATCGTTAAGCAATGTTTTACATTAATGTAAGATTAAAATTGAAAAAAATTGGACGTAAAATGTAGAAATAGAATGTACTAAGAAATAAAGCACGAACACCGTAATCAAGTATAAACTACAATTTTGAGTTATGCGAGTTAAATACACACGTATGAAAATACACGTGCTGAAATCGCTTCTGAATGCATTTTACAATCCGTTTTGAAAAAAAAAAAAAAAAAAAAAAGAGTCCTTTATCCTTTTATTCTGCTTGTACGTACAGATGTTACGCAGAAATATCGTTCAACTAGATTCGAGAGCGGTCGCTGAAATATGATACCCGAAAGATACTTCCTTTACTTCGTACAAGGAAGTTAAAAAAAAAGATTAAATTTTTTTATTGAGAAAGGACGGAAAAGTTGCTACTACAAACCTTAAGAGAATTTTTTTTTTTTTTTTTTTTTTTTTTTTTTTTAGAAAACGCAAAAGAGAATAAAAGAAATTCGTGAGCTATCAAGAGTAACAGCAGATAATGTTATAGCACTTAAGATTTCTTCAATATTCAGTTTAATTGTACTTAATACAGAACATGCAAATTTTACACAAGGAAAAACAAATTCTAACTGAGAATTTTATGCGAGTTCATAATTTCAATAAATTTCTTATATAAATACTCTTCTTCAGTGGCATTTACTTAATTTATTCCTTTTTAATGATGTTTATTATTCGTTATTGGCAATGTGTTCTTTTTCTTTCGAGTATTAATTTAAGTAATCTAATATACTTCTTCAAATTAAACTACTTGAAAATACAGATGAACTGTTACTATTATTTTTCTGTTAATTATAATATGAGTTGTTACTCATTTTTGTGTTTAATAATTAATACGTTGGCGACAAGTAATATCCTTGGACTACTTCTATCTAACCAGCTCACGTATAATGTTAATTTCAATCAGCAGAAGATTACATATATTGGCTAGAAATGCAAGTATATAAAATTCTTTTTATTCAGTTAAATTTCGTGACTCTAAAGCGCATAACAATGCATAAAAACTACGAAAAGAACAAACAATTAACATCGTTTGCGAATCCAAACTCCATATTTTAGCTTTGCATATTTTTTAAAGGTAAAAAATCCACACTGTAAGCAAAATCGTTACATCAAAGAATGATTGAAATTTCATAAGAAAAGGATATATCCGAGGATAAAAATGACAGTTTTTTATACCAGTTTACATTTTTATTTAAATACGTTTTCTAAAATTATAACTTGAAATTAACAGCAGTTTACAAACAAACAAACAAACCAAAAAAAAAAAAAAAAAAAAAAAAACTAACGCGTTACAAATATAAACTGAATTTTATTTTGAACCTTTACCTCTGACATAGCCGCTAAAAGTTAGTATTTGCATAAAAGTGCAATGTTCGGTATCCACTATAAGGTTTGACAAGAAAATAAAAAAATAAACTGTCATACAAATCGTTCTTCCTACCTGCGCACGTTTAACGATTTACTTCATAACCAACGGGAAGAATCCGCTTGCCTCACTGCGAGGATTTAAAGGCAACTCTGCTTGATAACCGTGAAGACTGAAAAACTGTTTACATTAAGGAAATGTAGCAGCTGATACAGGTTTTCGATCATAGGTCAGTGTAGAAGTTAAAGAAGAAATATCGGGCTTTAAACGAAAGTTTCCCGCCACCGCAAATATCATCTGCGCAAACAGTTCGCATTGGCGTGTTTAATCATATTTCGCTTAGCGATTTTTAGTATTTGAAAGAAAGAGATTTGCTTTAGAACACTGTGTTGTGAAATTTGTAAAATAATATAGTTATCGTTAAGGTGTCTGAAATAGAACTATGACACTACCAGATTAGAACCATCATTTGCTTCCAATTCTGTTGCAAACCGTCAGCTACAGAACGTCACCAAATCATGTGCCCAGCCTGAGGTACTAATTTTGTATCATATGACACTGTGAAGAATTTAGTACCGAAAGCTCAAAAACATGGACTATGATATTCAAGAAGTAGAGCGCTCTACTGATGTTGATAAAGCTCGCCTGAGAGAATATGTGGAAGACGATCAGTATGCAACCACTCGGGAGCTTGCTAAGGAGTTATTATAGACGTTAGGGACAATGTCCATTAGTCGCGCTATACAATGCATAAACTTGACCAACTTTCTGGGCCGAAAGCCTTGAAAAACTACCAAAACGTAGGTAGAGAAAAATCATAGATTTGGATGGTGATTACTAACCGCACTAAAGGTACTGTTTTTTTTTTTTTTTTCCCCTCTCTAACTTTATTAATTACGTTTTTTGGCGGAAAAGTTTCATTACAGCCAGATAATTCTAGAATAAGGAAACCAACTGAATTTCTGATGAGAATGGGAGTTGAAAAGCAGCAAAGCTATTGAATTTCTGTAGAAAACATTTCTAAAGATAGCTGAAGGGGTAAATTATCTGAGAAGGCCTCCGTCCTGAGGACAAACCAAGCGGAGTAATGCCAACTTGAGTGAGTGACGGGGTAACGTGCGCACCATTCCTCTATCATTGTGGTAAATCGGTTTAGCGCCACGTCCACCATTCACTAAAGTTGCACATAATGCTCGACACAGTACTCGACATAATACTGTACATAGTACTTAAAATAATACTAGCTAATACTTAACATAATACAATACTTAATACATACTTGCCATGATATAATACTTGACATAATACATATTTAACATGATATAGTACTTGATAATGCCCACTCAGAAAAAAATTCAAGAGAGCCTGGATGACCGGATGTTTGTAGCTTAGACTGAGGTAACTGCTGTTTCTTTAAGTACTGTAGACATCTTACATGGTGATGTTGCCTAAAATTCGCTGATGTATGTTGCATACAATAAAAATGCGTTGCCTAGAAGGAGAAGTTACATTATATAACACTGCACTTAAACTACAATTATTAAATTATGCAGATGATAAAACAGTAAAAAGTGAATTAGTGTAACTAGGTCAGAGGTTGAAAGCATTTGTTTAATCACTGTTATCGTGTACGCGTCGTTCCATTATTTCCGGGCCCACCAGCGGCCGAGCGGTAAAGTCGCTGAAACACTGGTAGTTCGGTCCGAGGTTCGAATCCCACGAACGGGCTGGCTGTATAGTCGTTTTCGTGATTTTACCCATGTGTAACGTGTATACGAGTCAGTTTCCCTTAGAAAGTCCTCCAAGAAGGCATCCCTCGCCTTAGGAAGATAGCCCTAGTATGCTTTGCCATAATTAAACCAACCAAAATAAATGTATTATTCGCATCGTACAGTCTCAACTCGTTTCTTAATTTCCTGCCTGATTCAAAAATATAGCTTTAGATTTGAGATGTTCAAGACCTCTCTGCAACATTACTTATATATTTAAAGACTATAATATTTTCTTATATACCTCTAGAGCAGCGTTCTTCAGATTGTGTTCCAAGGAACCTTGGCGTTCCACGAGTCAAAATAAAAATTCGAAAAGAAAATCCACACTTGTTTGGCTATAATGCTTATTAACTAAAAATATAAAGCTATATTTAGTTTTATACTTTTACCCTTGCCTTTCCTTATTATATTAATATTTTTATAATAATAATATAATATTTATAATATATTATATTTTTATGATAATAATATAATATTACACCTTTATTATATTTTATAATAATAAATATAATATTTCTACCTTTAATATATTTTATAATAATAATATAATATTTATACTTTATTTGTATTAGTATTATTATTATTTATACCTTATTTTGCCTTACTGTATTTATACTTTTAATTTTGCTTATATGGATGACGAAACACGAATTGAGTAATTGAAGAGTTAGGTTTGGGGACAACTTTCCCTTGATAAGTCTGTGTCCTGCCTGCTCAACAATTATTCACTTATGCAATTTTTAGGAATAATAAATTTTTTGGACTATATTTTTTCATGGTTTTTAGATAAGTGTAATTAATTTACATATGCTCTTAGAATTTAAATGATATTGCAAATTAGTTCGCAGCAATAATAATTACTTTTATTTTTAATTCTTTGCAATTAACATTTCTTAATTAAATTTTTAATTTTATATCTGCTTTATACGAATAGAGAATTTTATATTTTCTTTACACGAATAGAGAATATTTGTTAAATTCAAATTTCATTCCTTGCAGCAATGGCGCAAAAGAATTATTTAAATTTAATTTAACTTTACTACTTTCTTGTGAAGCTATATTTAGCTATATTATTAATTTTAAAACTTAACATGTAGTCATTATATGTGAAAGAAAATGATATGTAATGTTTTGCGAACTAAACAGTATTTTAATGGAAAATGAATTTAAACGAAAATGTTAAAAATTATACGTGGAAGTACCTTTTTTTAATTTAAGAAAATTATAAGAGAATACTCCCCCCCCCCCACACACACAAAAAAAAAAAAAACCTGTGTATGATTGGATAAAAAATCCGTTCGAGTATTACTATAAATCAGAAGTCTTAGTAATAAAGGAAAGGAAAGAATTTATCGACGTATCAGCAAAGTGGATGTTAAAATCAAAATTTAAGCAAGAACATCTAAATTTTGGTTTGCAGGTTCATGAAAAAAAATTTCTCACGCAGTCACAAATAGTCTAATGCCATTAGGAATATCGTAGTTAAGTAAAAAAAAAAAATATTACAGCGTATGTGGCAACAAAAAACAAAACTATAGAAATAAATTAAATGCAGAATATAATATCGTTACCAAACACCCAGATGCGGTCTTAGTAGTTTGAAATCTAACTACTAATTATACTGTGTGATGCTATGAATACTTGTATGAATATTTCTGTTGAAAATTCCAAAGTTCTGAAATATTTCTTTTGATAAAAATAAATTTTATGAATTTATTATCGGACTTGTGCATTTAGTCTATTACGAACTCGAACTCGTACGCACACAAAAATATAATGAAAAAATAAAACATTTTATAGGAAATTATATGAAAAACTTTTAGTTGTTGATATATGGAAATTTCTGGCAACTCTGGATGAGGCATAGGTATATTTAAGTGACTGTAATAAAAAATGAATAATTTTCTGTTGCTCAACTGATGAAAATTACCTTACAATACTGCTTCATGATAATTGCAGGATTTTTTATAATGGTAAATTAAAGCTAAAAAAAGACTCAAGTTTATTTGATTATGGCAGAGCACACTAGGTCTACCAAGTAAGGGAAGGGAGACCTTCGTGGAGGATTTTTCAAGAGAAACTGGCTTGTATAGATGTTGCACATGATCAAACTCACGAAAATCCCCATGCAAGCCAGTTCGTTCGCCTGAAATCGAGCGAGGTCAAACTACCAGTGTTTGGAAATTTTGCCGCTTCGGTCTCTAGTGCCATCAAATAAGTCTTAAGACTGAAATTAATTCACTGTGCTATCAGAAAAAGATTTTAGAAACAATTTTTGAAAAAGATATTCCAGCATTGTATGGAAAGGATATCAATAGATTTTAAGCGTCATATGGACACTCCCTCTATCACATGTCATCTGCTGCACAGTCATCTGCCACTTATTTAGCAGAGAAAGAATAAAAAGCAACTTAACCAGAGCGGAGGCACTCCCAGACTTGGCTAGCTCGAGGCTGCTTACTCGATGAAGCTCCCCAATCCCTGAAGGCAATCCATAGAAGCATAACTTCCCGGGCGAACCAGGAGGGATGAGAACAGATGGTCTGGGGTTGAACTTAGTACAGTGACAAAATGAAGATGAATATAATAAAACGACGTCAGTCAATCTCCGAGTGTTGACCGAGGGAAGCCAAACCCCCAAGGACAACCTAAGAAATCTGACCACGTAGCCGACCCACAGCCAAGCGACAGACAAGGCAGTACTAGTACTGTCCCTGCCAAGACTGAACACACACCCCCGACTGAAAGGAGTTTCTAGTCCTGTGAAGACTAATTATTTGCCCCGTAGTTGAGACTGCCTAAGTACAAATTCTAGCCAGTACTTCCCCTGAGTCAACCTCCGGGGGTGGGGGGAAGAGAAAGAAGCAGAATAAAATGCATCTCATTTAATGTAAGCGCATCGAAAGAGATAGTTAATCCGACCTCAGGCTGAACTCGCAACAATAGCAATAGCAGCTAACTAAACAACTCGCAACAACAATAACTAAGCAAGTGAACTCAGATGCTCTCTCTCCGGCCTTTTATAGTTTTCAGCCGGCCAGATATTTCTAGTACTTCTTAAAATTACTGGAAAGCAATACGATGGTTACAGTTAACATAGTGGTTAATTACATTTATTCAGTTACAATACTCGTTACAGTAATACAGGGACCGGACCAAAATGTTGCCAAATTTGGTGACAAAATAAGTCGTCAAAACCATTGTCAGCTTGGCGATATCTCGCCAAATTACCGAGATACCCACTTACTCAATCTTCATGCACTTGCCCTTTTATTACTATTTTTTCGACATAGTTTTCTCTTAAAATTTGTTACAGTACACAGAAAAATACAATTTACTTATGATTCTACTAACATTACCTATCTAAGTAGAAAATTCGTAACAATATGTTTTGGCAAAAAAGGATGAACTTCAGGTTTAACTTCGAATCTTTATGAAAGATAGTTTTAGTTACG